AATTTTATGAGTCCCATTGACTTAGAATTCTTGACGTTGCTATTTTCTTATATAGGAACTATAATATATTTATTGCTCTGGAGTTTAGAATGAAAGCAGGAGAGGTTTTGAGAACTATACCATTGTGCAAGAAATTGACCTCAGGTAAGAGCTTTGCCTAATATATAGAAAAGTACAGACTTTATTTGTCTTACATCTTGTAAGAAACAGCTTTGTAAACAACAAGGAAGACCCCAGGGAAGATGCTCAGTCCTTATTCAGAAGGACAAACACGTGATAGACATCGGAAGCTGGAGAAGACAGGGAATAGGACAGGAACCTACCACGGATGGCCTCTGAAAGACTCTACTGATAGAGGTATCAAAGCAGAGGCTGTGACTCATAGCCAAACTTTGAGCAGAGTGCAGCGAATCTTATGAAAGAAGGGGGAGATAGAAAGACCTGGAAGGGACAAGAGCTCTAAAAGGAGACCAACCGAGCCATAAAAATTGAGCCCTGGGGACCCTGAAGAGATTGATACCTCAACCAAGGACAATGCATGGAGAGAACCTAAAAAAACCCCTGTTCAAACGTAGCCCATAGACCCAGTCTTCAAGTGGGGTCCCTAGAAAGAGGAGCAGGGATTTTCTCTGGCATGAATTCAATGACAGGCTCTCTGATCACTTCCCCCTGGGGGCGGGGGTGCAGCCTTGCCAGGCCACAGAGGAAGACAATACAACCAGTCCTGATGAGACCTGATAGGCTAGGGTCAATCAGGGGAGGAGAACTTCCCTTATCAGTGAACTAGGGGAAGGGCAAAGGGGGAGAAGAGGGAAGGAGGGTGGGATTGGGAGGAGAGGAGGGAGGGAGCTACAGCCAAGATTCAAAGTGAATAAACTGTAATAAATGACAATTTTTTTTTTTTTTTTTTTTTTTTAAAGAGAGAGACAGCTTTAGCCAGAGCAGAAGCAGGAAGTTCCGGCTGGATGGATGGGTGGTGGTAGTAATTGTCAGTGTGTGTGTGTGTGTGTGTGTGTGTGTGTGTGTGTGTGTGTGTGTTCATGGATGAGTTTGTGTAGAGGTCAGAGGAGGGTGTCAAATCTTCTGGAGTTAGATTATAGGCAGTTGTGGGTCTGCTAGATATGGATTCTGGGAATAGAATTAATATCCTCTGATAAAACAGCAAGTTCTATTACCTGCTGAATTGTTTTTCCTGCTCCCAGGTCCAGTTTTTTAATTACAAAGTGAAGATGCCCACTGTACTATATTTCAGTGTCTTATATACTTCCAGAGCCTTGGATTTATCACAAAACACCTCTTGAGACTGTGTGGAGTTTTGCTGGTTGGTTGGTTGGTTAGGTTGTTAATTAGTTGGTCTTCTTTTCAGTTCTTTGACTCTTACAATTAACTTCCTAGGTCTAAAAAGAAAAAAAAAAAGCCTCCCTAAATGCTGTATGAAAGTTCTTTATTTTCATAGCACTCTTAAAGTAGATCCTTCTCAAAGTATGGTTTTTAGGTGAGCCTTTCATTATGATTATGATTAACATCAATCACCACCTTAAACTTGCTACAAATTATAATTAGGTCATATAGAACGTTCAGCTACTTTCTCAAGATATGTTTTAACAAGAAATCTGAGAACCACTAATAGTTGGTTTACTTGATCACACAATTTCTGTGTTGAAAGACTTCTAGAACAATGAATGAAAGCCAGCCAAATTAATTACCACACTACTGTGTTTTTCAAAGGTTGAATGTACAACAGAACTCCAATGCCTCCTGTTACATTTTTACTTCTGAAATTCGAGCCCTGGAATTGGTACAGGATACACCGAGACACCAAATTCTCAACACAAAGGAGATTTATTACTGTGGATGGGCAAGCAGGGTGGGTGTAAAGCCAACAGCAGCAGCATGCAAGAAAAGCAAGAGAGCAAGAGAAGTAAGAGAAACAAGAGAAGCAAGAGCAAGAGAAGCAAGCGAGGTTGTTTCTGAGGGAATGGGTTTTTAAGAAAGAAAAGGGAGAGTGTGTGCCAGGATGAGTTGGTAAATCCTGATTGGACGTATTAGTCAAATAATATATTTTGATTGTTGGACCTTAGTGTTTTGTCTCAGATATGATTTATTGGTCAAATAAGGGAATAGACCTTGTGGGCTGGTTTTAGAAATGTAGTGGTTTTTAGTAAGGGAGAGGAAAGGAGGCATAAAACCAAAACCTGTCTGAAATGTTTGCCATGCTTAAGCCTGTGTTTGCCATGCTCAGGCCTGCTAGAGCCCCTTCAACTTCCTCATCTAAAGCCATGAATAAGAGATTATAAGTGATGGTGATGTTGGTGCCTGCCAGGAGTTACCATGATTATTCAACAGTGCAGGGTACTTGGCAATCTGACTGATGCGTAATTTATTTCCAGTATATTCTTCTAAGGCATTTACCTATAAGTCAATTACCATCAATTACTTTTTATTTAGGGTCTCCTAAAAGCCAAAATTTAGATAAGGATGTCGGTAAATTTAACTAACTTAGGCAGTGATACCAAGGTTAAGTTTAAGAGGGAAAAGGAGAATGAGATAGGCAAGTAGGAAACATAATATAGAGTTTGATGATCAGGTTTTATGGAATGAGCATATATCCTTTCAGGGCCATCATTGAAAAAAGACATTTATATCTGAAGGAAGACTGGCTAAAACATTTATCCACTGCTACCGTCTTCAGGTGAAGATTTCCCTTGAGCCATTAAGGTTCTGTCTTCTGGGAAACTCTTGCTGTTTCTCAGTCACTATTTCTTGCTGACATGCAAACTGGTTTCCCAGGGTTTGAGACCTCAGAACAGAAAGAGGAATATATACTGAGTTCTTAAAATAGACTGCTGTCAGTCTGTCTGCAATGAATGTGATTTCAAAGAAGACTGTGCATTGTAGCTCTTCTGAAATAAGAACTGGGCACAAGCAGTGAGCTACACCTGAAACAGAGACATCGACTTTTAAGAGAAATATACAAATGCTGCTTTTCGTGTTTGTGACCATAGGGATCAGAGGGTCACCGTGTATCTTCATGCTCTCTCTGAATAGTGCTCAGAAAAATAAAAGCGGTGAGTTAAAATAAACAATCAAGTGATAATTGATATTTTCTTGAAAATGACAATCGGAACAGGAACAGATAGAGAGAATTCTCAAGTTTTGCATAACAAAAACTATTTAGGGTAAGACTGTCTCCTAATGAAAAATAGTGTATAAATAGTTGATCCAGAAAAAAAAAATCTCCTGAAGTTAATTAATTAGGAAATTAGCAATTAATTAGGAAATGGGAGAAGGGAAGTAGATAAGCTGATACATAGAGTCTGAGAAAAGCAGAATAGAGACCCTGCTACTCAACAGAGGAAACAAATGCAGAATCTGGATGAGCAGAGACTAGTAGTCATAGTCAGTCACTATAAAACATTAGAACTCAAAGAATATAATGAGGCCATAGATATAGACACAGGAAGCAAAAGTCCCCAAAACATCAATTAACCCTCTGTGAGTAGTTATACTCATATGCACAACAAAGGTGCTAACATCACCACAGCTCAAAAATTCTAGAGAATATAAAGGATAAATGACACTGAAAAAAAAATGATAGTCACAAAGACAATGTTCAAACTTTCCAGAATGTATGGAACAGTAAAAACCATGAATAAAATAAAAACAAAAAAATGGTAAAATTTGAATAATGCATCTAAGTGCTTTGTCTTGGGGTCAGCCTGCCCTTTAATATTTCTTAATTAGGATAAATTCTGACTATGAAACTTCAGCCTAATCTACTTCTAGTATCTGGGTAAAGTTAAAAATATGAATGTAACATACTTTAAATATTCAACCACAAAATCTTTCCCAGAATCAAGGTGTGTATATGGCACTATAATATTTGTACTGATTTGGGTTTTTACTGAATTAAAATGTTTTAATACTTATTCTAAGTTTTTGGTTTATTCAGTTCACTTTCCTTATAATTGTTCATCATCACCTCTTAAATACACGAATACCCTACTATATAAAATTTGGGAGTCACTATTTCAGTGTCAAACTTGCTCCCAAATGAAGAATGTGGAATATTTATATGAATGATCAAGTGCTATTCTTCACTGGATGAAAATGACATTAAATACAGAAATGTCTGATTATATAATGAACACTTAGAAATTACTCAGGATGGGGAGTGATTTCATTTATTTTAATGGTTTTCCTTCTAAGAAAATAGGAGGAAATATAATGTAGAAGATTAAATTCATTCACAATATAACACAGCATAAAAATGACTAAGTGATGATTCAGTCTCAGAAATTAAAGAATAAAGTGAAAAGGAGGAATGAAAAAGATAAAAGAGGTGTGAAGAGAAGTTGAAAAGAAAAGTGAAAAATACAGAGCAGAGATAGAAACTAGAAGACCATAGCTAAGTAAGTGGAGAGGCATAGAAATAAAAGAACAAGAGGAAGTAAAAAGATAATAAGCATTGCACAGTCTGTAATTCAGTAAGTGTAGTACATGCTGAGTCTTCAATGACAAATGTGCAGCACATAATATTTAGCAAAGTGGTTTTATTAAAAGGTAAGTGGCTGGCTGTAGTAGTGCACGCTTTTAATTGCAGCACCTGAGAGGCAGAGGCAGGAGGATCTCTGTGGGTTCAAGGCCAGCCTGGTCTACAGAGTGAGGACAAGACAGCTAGGGTTACACAGAGAAACTGTCTCAAAAAAACCAAAAAAAAAAAAAAAACCCTGTATTTTATTCAGTTTCCCTTTATGAGCTATAAATAGACATAAAGCATCAAAGACAAAAAGAAAAGAATCAATGGCAGATATAAAATATTAAACTACTTCACTCAATCTAGTATTTCCCCTTTAAACATTACAGGCTACCATCATATTCTTCAGTAAAAAGGAATTGAACAAGTTGCAGTGCCTTGCTTCCTGTCTGCTAGACTCTTCACAGTCTTTTGAGCAACCATTTTTGTGTTATCTCCTGAAGAGGCGATTGTCCCAGAAAGCATGGCCACAGTTTGCAATGACACCCATGGTGATTTTATCCTCCGTGGCTTCTCTGACAGGCCATATTTAGAAAAGTTACTTTTTTGGGTCATTTTGATCTTTTATTGTTTGACTCTTGCTGGAAATACAATCATAATTCTTGTTTCCTTGAAGGATCCAAAACTCCAGATCCCTATGTATTTCTTTCTTGCCAATCTTTCCTTATTAGATATTTGTTTCACTAGCAGCTGTGTGCCTCAAATGTTGGTTAATTTGAGAGGTCCAAAGAAGACTATCACCTATCATGGCTGTGCCACCCAGCTCTACATCTTCCTGTGGCTTGGTGCCACTGAATGCGTTCTTCTTGTTGCCATGGCTGTAGACCGTTATGTAGCAGTGTGTCACCCTCTGAGATATACAACTGTCATGCACCCCAAAGTCTGTCTGCAACTGGCTGTCCTTGCTTGGGGTGCTGGCCTGATTCAGTCTCTGATTCAATCTTCTGCTACCCTCAGATTGCCCTTTTGCTCCCACCGGGTGGTAGATGACTTTGTGTGTGAAGTTCCAGCCCTGATTCAGCTCTCCAGCGCAGATACTACCTATAATGAAGTCCAGATGTCCATAGCCAGTGCTATTCTCCTAGTGTTACCCTTGGTCATCATTCTTTCCTCCTATGGTGCTATTGTGAAGTCCGTGATGAAGATAAAGTCGACGACAGGGCAGAAAAAAGCATTTGGCACCTGCACTTCTCATCTTCTCATTGTCTCCCTCTTCTATGGTACAGTCACAGGCGTCTATCTTCAGCCTAAGACTCACTATGCTCAGGAACAGGGCAAGTTTCTCACCCTTTTCTACACTGTAATAACTCCAACTCTTAACCCTCTCATCTATACGCTGAGGAACAAGGAGGTAAAAGGAGCAGTGATAAGACTGGGGTGGAGGGCTTGGAGCTCCCACAGATAACTAGGGATGCTGGCAAGGATGTTTCTGTTTCTTGACTTGAAAAATCAAAACAATCTTAGCTAAAAATTCTTGAGGCAGGCCTCCCCAAAGCCAAGAATAGCTTCATTTTGTTTGGGGTGTGATATTAGCTTCATTCATCAGTTATTGATTAGACCCTTGATTTCTTCTAGGTACTGATTCAGGCACAATGAGATAGACAAATTATTTTAATAGTTATTTTCTTGAGAAATATGATACAGTTGACCTATGAGAAAGACCCACAGTAATTACAAAATAAAACACCAAGTTATGCTTCATACTTTCCAATTGTCCTATTTACTTTAGATTGTAATGGGATTTGAAAACAGAGCATCCTACAAATTAAACAAACCCTTTAAACTACATCACAGGGTTCCCTTTGTTTACTTTAAAAACATTAAGGATTTATGTTTTGGGTGAGTGCATCTGTGTGAGTGTGTGCCATGTGTGCACAGGTGCCTGCAGATGCCAGAGGAGAGTGTTTAGTTTCCTGGGGTTACAGGGCAACAGGGATGCCAAAAAATAAACTCAGGTCCTTGGAAAAATAATAAGCACTCTTAATAATTGATCCATCTGGACAGGAGTCTTCTACAGAGGAGCTCTGAAAAGACTTTACCCACAGGGTATCAAAGGAGCTACTGAGACTCATAGCCAAACTTTGGAAGAAGAAGGAGACAGAAAGACCTAGTGGGGACAGGAACTCCACAAGGAGAACAACAGAGCCAAAATACCTGGGCTCAGAGGGAACTGTAGAGATCAATACTGCAACTAAGGATCATGCATGGAGAGGACTTAGACCTCCTGTTCAAAGAAGCCCATTGGCTTCTCAGTTTCCAAGTGGGTTCCCTAGTAAGGGCTATAGGGGCTGTCTCTGACATGAACTCAGTGTCAGGCTCTCTGATTGCCTCCTCCTGGGGGGTGCAGCCTTGCCAGGCCACAGAAGAAGATGATGCAGCCAGCCTTGATGAGACCTTATAAGCTAAGGTCAGATAGAAGGGGAGGAGGTCCTCCCCCATCAGTGGACTTGGAGAGGGGAATGGGAGGAGATGAGGGATGGAGGGTGGGATTGGGAGGGAATGAGGAAGGGGGCTACAGCTGGGATACAAAGTGAATAAACTGTAATTAATATAAAAAATAAAAATTTAATTTAAAAAACAGTGAATAAATTGAAATTAATTAATTAAAAAACATGGGCTACTTAAAAAAAACAGAAAAAATAATTAAGCCATCTATTAAACTCCTTCTTCTTATGACAAGACATCTCATTAACTTACCACACAGCCAGAGGACTTAGGAAAGATCCATGCAGACTCATGCAGACTCGATTGCTGCTTTAGTTTCTGTGAGCCTCTCTGAGCCCTGCTTACTTCATTCTGTGGGCTGTGTTCTCATGGTGTATTTGACAGCTCTGGAACTTACAATCCTTCCTGCCCCTCTTTTGCAGAACTCTCTGAGCTCTGCCTAATGTTTGGCTGTGGATCTCTGCATCTGCTCCCATCAGCTTGATAGAATTGGCTTAGGCACCAATCTGCGGGGAGAGCAGAATATCAGAATATCACTACAAATCATTTCATTGACTTTTTTTTGTCAGTTGTGTTTCGATCTCTGGGCCATTCGTCTTCTAGTTCCTGGACAAACAGGCAGTGCCAGGCATCAGTTCCTCTCATGGTTTGGGCATCAATTGAGACAAGTCATTGGTTGGCCCTTCTCATAGGCTCGGAGACTTCATTGCCCAGCACATCTTGCAGGCAGGAGAGGTTGTGGATAGAAGATTTTGTGGCTGTGTTGATGTCCCAGTCCACTTAAAACCCTTGCTTGGTTACAGAAGATGGCCGGCCAGTTCAGTCTCCTTGTCCTCTCTTACTAAAGAGTCTTTGCTAGGATCACCCTCATACGTTCCAGAAAGTTTTTACTACCCCAATGTCCACAATGTCCCTTAAATGCCCCCGTTCCAGTTGTCTCTTCCTATATTCTTCCCCCCTGTCTCTCCCTCACTTATTGTTTCCTCCTAGTCCCATCCTCACCAGCCCCCAGTCCACCCACAAAAACTATTCTATTTCCTCTTCCTAAGGAGATCCGTATGTTCCCCTCCCCCCTGAACCGTCCTTGTTACATAATTTCTCTGGGTCTGTGGATTTCAGCTTGATTAGCCATTATTTAACAGTTAATATCCACTTATAAGTGAGTATGTATCATGTTTTTCTTTCTGGATCTGGGTTGTCTCACTCAGAATGATTTATTTCTAGTTCCTTCTATTTGCCTGCAAATTTCATGATGTCATTTTTTTTCTAATAGCTGAGTAATACTCTATTGTGTAAATATACCACATTTAAAAAATTCATTCTTGAGTTGAAAGATATCTAGGTGTTTCCATTTTCTGGTTTTTATGAATAAATCCTCCATGAACATAGGTGAGCAAATGTCCTTGTGACAGGATTGAGCACCTTTTGGTATATACACCTGAGACTGATAAAGCTAGGTCTTGAAGTATATTGATTCCCAATTTCCTGAGAAATTGCCATATTGATTTCCATAGTGGCTGTATAAGTTTGCATTCTCACCAACAATGGAGGAGTGTTCCCCTTGCTCCACAGCCTTATGTTATTAATAAGCTGTATTATTAATAATCCCATTTGTGTTATTCTGACCTGTGTAAAATGGAATCTCAAAGTAGTTTTCATTTGCATTTCCCTGATGGCTAAGAATGTTGACTATTTCTCAGTCATTTAAGAGTCCTTTCTTGAGATCTGATCCCCATTTATTTGGTTTGTTAATGTATAATTTCTTGATATATTTTGGATATTTGCCCTCTATGGGTCTTGGATTTGTGAAAATCTTTTCCAATTCTGTAGCATGTTGTTTTGTCTTATTGATGGTGTCATGGGGCTTACAGAAGCTTTTCAGTTTCATGAAGTCCCAATTATTAATTGTTGATCTTAGTGCCTGAGCCATTGGAGTTTTGTTCAGGAAGTTGTCTTCAAGTGCTGATTTGTTCAAGGTTACTCCCTACTTTTTCTTTTATCAGATTTAGTGTGTCTGGTTTTATGTTAAGGTCTTTGATCCATTTGGACTTGAGTTTCAGTCAGGGTAATAGATATGGATCTATTTGCATTCTTCTGCTGATGACATCCAGTTAGACCAGCACCAATTGTTGAAGATTTTTTTTTTCATTTTTCCATTGTATATGCCTGGCTTCTTTATAAAAAATTGGTGTCCATTTACGTATGGGTCTTCAATTTTATTCCACTGATTAACCTGTCTATTTTTATGCCAATACAATGCAGTTTTTATTATTGTATCTCTGTAGTACAGCTTGAAGTCAGAGATAATGATAATTCTCGAAGTTCTTTTATTTTTCAAGGTTGTTTTAACTATCTTGAGTTCTTTTATTTTTCCACATAAAAGTGAGTGTTGTAGTTTTAAGGTCTGTAAATAATTGTGTTGGAATTTGAGGGAGTTGTAGTAAATCTGTAGGTTGCTTTAAGTAGGGGGACATTTTTATTAAATTAATTTTACTGATGTATGAGCATGGGAGATCTTTCTATCTTCTAATATCTTTGTTGATTTATTTCTTCAAAGCACTTAAATTTTTGTTGTACTTGTGTAATTAGGGCTATCCCAAGATGTTTTGTATTTAGAGGATATTGTGGACTGTGTTGTTTCCCTGATTTATTTCTCAGTTCTTTGTCATTTGTATATAGAGGGATATTGATTATTTTGAGTTAATTATGTAACCAGCCACATTTCTGAAGGTGTTTATCAGATACAAGAGATCCAGGGTAGAATTTTTGGGGTCACTTGTGTATATTGTCATATCATCTGTAAATAATGATATTTTATTTCTTTCTTTCCAATTTGTAGCCCCTTGATCTCCTCCCATTGTCTTATTGCTCTCACTAGAACTTCAAGTACTACACTAAACAGATATAGAGAGACAGCCTTGTCTTGTTCCTGATTTTAGTGGAATTGCTTTGAGTTTCTCTTCAATTCATTTGATGTTGGCTATTGGCTTGCTATGAATTGCCTTTATTTTGTTTAGGTGTGTTTTTTAATTCCTAATCTCTCTAGGACTTTTGTTGGAGGATGGTCTTATACACTGTGTATTCAGGTGCTGCTATCTGTACCCTGAGATCTGATTGCCAACCAGACATGGGTATTATCATTTCCATGAAGAATCTCCTGTCTCAATGCTGTGTTAAAAATTGTTCTCCATCATACTCTGATTGGTTAATAATGAAGTTATTCAGCCTATATCTGGGCAGAGAGGGTAGGAGGCAGGACTTGCGATCCTAGTCTGGGAGGCCCAGGTAGGCACTAGAGAAAGAGAAGAAGAGGAGCCATGAGGAGGTTGCCATGAGGGAGTAACCATGAAGACAAAGATGGAGAAGAAGCTGCCAGGGTGAGACTAGATCCCTGGTAAAGGGCACATGGCTGGGAAATAGTCCAGGCCAGCATAGATGTGTCAGAATAGATGAGTATCTGCCAAGCTTAGTGTGTTAAAGCATATTAATAAATGTAATAGGTCTCTGTGTCATTATTTGAGAGTTACAGCAGGCATATAGAGAAAAATTACATTATTTTTTAATCCAAACTCAGACAAAAATTCAAGCATGTCACCTGAAAAATCTGAGAAAAGTTCTGGACACAGAAGCCAGATCAAAAGGACAGGCACAGAAGCTACAGTTTTTGGGGAGGAGGAATGATGACACAGAGTTTCTTAGCAACTGCACACTGCTCATAGCCAAGCAGAGCAGCGAGCCTGAGGCTTGGCTGCTTAGGAGCTTCCATGGAGCAATGAGGCTTGAGTGTCAGGCTACTCTGTGATCTGCAGCCTGGAGCCAAGACAGGCAGCAATACACTGGCCGAAAGCCTGAGTGGCTGGAGCAGACTAAGATATGCTCAGCTGGGTCCTTCTACACATGTGATGCAGCTGTTGGGGAAAATCTCCCAGAGACCACAGCCCAAATTGAGTTCACAATGGA